AAAAAAAATGAAATGAAACTGGAACACCCGCTAAAACCTCGGGGCTCCACCATAGAATTATGTAAAACGCGCCTTTGATTGAACCCCATCAATGTTCAAATTTCAACGACACTAAGATTTTCATAAGACACACTACTAATGCTCTGTAGCTTACCGGCGGCGGGTAGTGGGTTACCTAAAACAACAACAACAAACAAAATCAAACAAAAAAAAGAGAATAATAGGTTAATTGATATGTATTAAAATCAAACCAGCCAAAAAAAAACACAAAAAAGTAACAAAGGGACAATACAAGTGGGTGGAGAAGTTGGGTATTAATATCTCAAACTGGAAACCACTGGTCACTTACAGTTATCATGCTAGATTCGGATGGTGAAGGTGGTGGAGATGGTGAAGATGGTTCCTAAAACGTTAAAAAGAACTGTCAAATATCTGAGATAGAAAAGCGGTATTCAGTGGAAGAAACTCGTCCTCTGGCTAATTGTAGCTCCTAAACATGTCGATCGTGCTTTGTTCTTAGGTAAAACACCCCCTCGTGCCTCAATTTTTAGGTCAATTGAGCTTTTACACCTAAGAGGTGACCCTAGTTAGTAGAAGCAAACTCTTCTGTTATCTCTTTCCTTGATGATTTAAAACAAGTTTCTCAACTTTAGCTCACACTATATATCTCATTTCAACATTTCAACAGTTCAAAAGATATCGTTGGGATCTATGTTTTTCTGTGACTTCACGGTGCAGTTGCTACAAATCACCGTCTGAATGACCGAGTTTAAGAAAAGCTCCGCCCCTTAGATCGAGGGAAAGAACAAAATCAAAACAAACTTCAAAAAGAAGAAGTCACAATGCAACGATTTTCGCTGTAATACTTAATTAAAACAAACTTCCCCCGGAACTTACAGCGACTGGCTCAATTTTCTGTTAAATTGTTATAAAAAATAATAAAAAGTGCTGAAGTGTAAACACGTAGATGTTAACGTTTCTTATCTTATTAAGTTACGTCTCGTACATTTTATGTTATAAAATGTATAACTTTTTTACCACAACCTACAATAGTTCAAACGACCTCGAGCTCTCCATGGTCACAACACCTGGCATGGCCTCATCGAAACTAAGAACGAAAGCCGGAAGCATGGGACTAGCTGCACTGAATAATCACTGGGCTGTCAGCGACTGGCACTCACAAATCAGATACGATTTTTTGTTTAGTACATTAAAAAAATATAAGTGTTTTCTATTTCATCTAAAGACATGGATACTTGAAATTATAGGAAAAACACTTTCTTACAATCGGCCATTTTGTTTGTTTCCATATATGTCATGGAATCGCTAAAGGAAGCCCAAAACTAAAAAGCACAGGGATTCCGCACGTATGACATACAATTATTTGATATGTTTTGCACAGGATATGGTTGAAAATTTAGATGAACTCCGGATAGTGGAGCGCCACGCCCAACTCTATAAGAGATAATGAATTGCAACTGAAAATACAAGAAACTTACCRGGAATGGCTGTACTTCTGGTACTAATGAAATTGGAGAAACCTAAAATATTAAACAGATATCTTGAAGATTAACAATGTATTAAGCAGAGTCTCTCTATAAGCTTATTAAAAACAAGGCGTATGTTTGTCGCCGATTTCCAGTATATAAATTGTAACCTTAACTGAACTATGACGTAAAAACAAATCTGTTGGTGGATAGTTGAGGTGACGGTTTCTTCCGCCATTTTGTTTGGGTAGGCATTGGCTCGGGAAAAAATACAAGCCGATACAGCGTAAAATTGATGCCTAGATCAACTAAGTCCTTTAAAATTCGCAATTTGAATCCTTTTTGTAGTATCAAACGTTCAAAATTAATGATTCATTCACTAAGTAGGAATGCAACTTCAATTATTTGACATCGAGTTCACTCTGTATGCCTACCGAAACAAGATGATGCCAAAACCTTCACTTCATCTATTACCATCATTTATCAGCGCCAAAGCGCCCATAGTTGACGGAAATATACATTGGAATAGGATGTCTGTCCCCTGGGACCCTCCCAAGAGAATTTCAATTCGCAATTTCCATCGTCCCTTAGAAAACTGTTGTGCACGGTCTTGACTGATTTAACCTCAAAATACATACAAAAGAGTACAGCAAAAGGATTCCAAACCATTTGCCTTTATTAAYTATGGTTGCATATATGAAAATTAGGATACTAATAAGAAATGTTTCTCCAAGATGGCCGCTGTGATCATATAGAGAAACAAAAAACTCTTGTCAACATACCCCAACGTCATTTTTAAATTGAAGTTCGTCGTCGATTTCGTCCCAATGTTGTCTCTGAAACAATCCATAAAATAAACAAGTTGTAATCAAGGGAAGAACATTCTTGGCGTGAAAGTTACGTCATCATCGCCATTTTGGATGAATATCAAAAAACATTTTTCATTAGTTTCACTTGTTTATTCTTCCAACATGGCGGCGATAGCTTTGTTTTTTTATTTCTCAGGGGATTTTCCTGGTCTAGTAGTTGCACACTAACAATAATTAGCAATATTCTGTGAGTAATTTGTTTTAACATTCTTGTTTGGCTACTCGCGCGGTGACTCCTTGTGAATAGAATAAATTATTTGATACTAACCAACAACTCAAAATCGTCCATCCTCTGAAAACAAAAATAGAGATTGAATTAATGTTAGTTTATAAAGATTTCAGTTCATGGGAATGAGGCTCCAACTGGAAGGCAAAACTATGAATTCTAATTCCCTGCAAAAGGGAAAAATCCGGCGTTTGTTTTGTCCTCCAATAATGAAGCTGCTTTGACACCACATGCAGAGAGTCTATAAAACTGATGCGTCTACTAATTAAAATAGATATTCTCTATTTGTCTCTCATAAAATCCMTATATACCGAGTACTTTGGCTCAAGTGCAGATTCAAGAACATTTGCGAGGTTTTCTTACATGCGCGATAGATTCGACATATTTGATTTTGAAACATCTTTCAATAAGATATCATTTGTACACAGAAAAGAAACCATCATCGTGGATCTTTTGAAACTGGTATAAATTGGTCTGTTTAGGGGTCGACTTTAAGCAACATGAGATCGTAGTAATTTCCAAGTCACTTTTAAAGCGCGACTATGTCAAAGTCCTATCCAAGAACTTAAACAGCCTGATATAAATAAAGTAATTATTATCACTG